GGGGGGTCTCACACAGTCCAGCAGGGGTCGTGGGCTTCATTGCGGGTGGCTCCTGGGGTGTTTGTAGAGGGAATGGGGGAAGGGCTTGGGGACCTCCCCAGGGCTCAGGCATCCCTTTGCTTCTCTGTTTTATTTCTTTGTTTGTCTCCTTCTGCAGGTGGTGAGGGCCATTAACACCATTCTGCTGGGCAGGGTCATCTGCCTGGGCAATTTGGACTCCATAGGGGTCGTGGGCTTCATTGCGGGTGGCTCCTGGGGTGTTTGTAGAGGGAATGGGGGAAGGGCTTGGGGACCTCCCCAGGGCTCAGGCATCCCTTTGCTTCTCTGTTTTATTTCTTTGTTTGTCTCCTTCTGCAGGTGGTGAGGGCCATTAACACCATTCTGCTGGGCAGGGTCATCTGCCTGGGCAATTTGGACTCCATCATTGGCCAGATTTGCTGCCCTGGGCTTCCCAAACTGTGGGGGAACTATTCATGGAACCCACATCCCCATCCTGACCCCCGACCGCCATGAAGCACAGTATATAAACCCAAAGGGATACTTTTCTATGGTGCTGCAGGAGCTGGGCGACCACTGTGGTCAGTTCACAGACATCTTCGTTGGCTGGTTGGGGAAGGCACATGATGCCTGTGTTTTCCACAACTCCAGCCCGTAACACAAGCTGGAGGCTGGCACTTTCTTCCCCGAACGCAGCATTAGTGTCAGGGACATTGAGATGCCACTGTGCATTCTCAAAATTATATTGCTTAAAATGTCAGGGAATGACCTGAGCTAGGGTTGATATTTATAACCTGTCTTGTCTGATCCTGTTGATAGCTGGATGTACCCTGTAATTAAGCACTTGCCCATTTGCTCTTAGCCAGTTTTTTTCTTTTATATTAATGTTATGTGTTTCATCAAGGGATTTTATTTCTTTAAGGCCTAGATCATTGTAGCCCATCTTCTGTATTTGGATTTCTATCTCCAGACATTCTTAATTTGCAGTCATTTATAAAGGTGGCTTGGACAGGTCAGCACTGGTTACGGGGAATCATGCCAGGCACTAGAAGATGTTCTGTCACTGGAGCAGGGCTTTATTGATCTCTACTATGCTTCTTTATGGAGCCAGTCATTTGCTTTCATTCTGTGTGTCCAGAGCCTGGTGTTTTGTTCTTATGTTTGCATGTATCACCCACTGTCTGTTAACTTTGGGCAAATCACTTTGTTTTGCTATGCCTCAGCTTCCCCATCAGGAAGATGGAGATACTGATCTCCTTTGTAAAATGCTGTGTGAGAGGCAGCTGGTAGCATTATTATCTGTGCCCTACATTCCCACCCCATTCCCCAGTTCAATTACTGTTCTACCCCCTATATCGATGAGCAGTTTGAGATCCTATCCTCTCCTATCCTACTCCCTCACTTCTTCCCCTCCCCCTCTGCTACTATCCTGCTTTTGACTGATTCACTTGACCCATCCTGGAACATCAGCAATTCCCATTCTGGAATGTTAGTATTATGAAAAATGCCGGTTTATGGATGTATTAGAAGATTTACCTGGCATTGCTCAGGTTGTTCAGGTCAGGGGGCTGGAGGTGTGGGAAGTGCAAGAATCAGAGAAGGATTTGGGAGTTCAGGGCAGATATTGCAGGAGTCAGAGCATGGGGTTGGGTGTGTGGGCAGCTCAGGACAAGGGATAGGGATACAGGAGTCATGGCAGGGAGCTGGGAGGTGTGGGGGACACAGGTTGGAGGCTTCAGGACACGGGGTGGGGCATTCAAGCCAGAGGCCTGGGAGATCTAAGGGGCTTACTGAGGCTACCAAGAGTAGCAAGAAAGGCACTGCAGCTGCTGGGTGACTGTGGGGGTCCCGTTGCCCCCCTTCCCTCTTTGCTGCCCGCCTGAACTGCGTGCCTAGAGTTATTAACTGTTCCTCAATTCCGCTGCACTTCGGGTGAGCAGGGTGGGGGGTCTGGGCCCACCCTCGCTCCCAGACCCCAGCCCAGGGCCCCAAGGACAGAGTCACTCGGACCTGTCCCACCGGAGGGGTCTAATTCCTTAACCCCCGGTGCGCCGGCTCCGTGCCGTGCCCTGCCCTGGGCTACTTCCACCCTGCCTGCTTCCGTTCCCCTATCCCGTGCTCCTCGCTCCTTACCCCAACTCGCCTTTCCTCTTCCCCGTGCTCCCCGGGGCTTTATACTACCCCGCGCCCGCCCCCCCCCCCGGGTGTCTGACGTCACTTCCGGCCGCCATGATTTTTCCCGCGTGAGGGGCGCGTTGCTTGGCAACGCCAGCCATCCCGCTGCTCTGCTGATGCAGGGCGGCGCTGCACCGCTCGCAGCTCTTCAGTCCCTGTCGTGCCGTCCCCAACAGTGAGAGCGCGATCGCAGGGTCCGTGCGGGGTGGGCCTGCTTCGGGGAAGTAGGTGGGCCCCACCCCGTCACAGTGACCGACTCTTCCTGTGGGGTGGGGTTCCAGTGCCTAGCCCTGTCCATCAGCTCCTGGGGCGGAGGGCTGTGGTATCTCCCCTGACATTGATAGGTCCTCCACAGTCTGGTGTGACCCCTTTCCCAGTTTTCTGATCAGAGAACTTGGTCGCTAACTGGCTGTTCAGAGTCAAGGTATGAGCAGCTAGCCTGACTGATTTCTGTTTGGTAGGGTTACAGTGGCGTCCTTAGATGGGCCACGGGGTCTCCATGAGTACCTTTCAAAGGTTCTGATTGCACATGAACAGTTGTAATTGTAGCCATTTTGCCAGTAGCAATTGGTAGCCAGCAGAGCAATATTCAGTATCTAGGGGGCGTTCCTTCAACAAGGGGACCAGCTGGCTCGAGCCCTCACCCCATAAACTGGGAAAGTTTCAGCTTACCCACTGGGTGCCTTTAGCGGCACTTCTTCCCCCCTTGCAAGCACTGAGTCGGAGACAGAAGCAGTCTATTTAATAACAGTAATCTAACATTAATCTACGGAAAAACACATAAACAAAGTATAAGCAAGATACCATCCTTAGGTTGTGTCTACATTGGCCCCTACTTGAAAGTAGGAATAAGAGATCCTCCGGAAAAGAGCTTATTTTTCTGGAGGATCGCGTCCAGACTGGCGCTTTTCTCTGGCTTATCTACAAGCCGGAAAAAAGTGGCAGCCATGTTAATGCAAATATTTAAATCCCCCGCGGATTTGCCTATTCCAAAGTGCTACATTTGCATCCCTATTACGGAATAGGGGCCAATGTAGACAGCCCTAGAGTCCTCAGGGTAGAATCTTTTGCTTCAAGGCTCTTAGTTCAACCCTCCACTTAGATAGTGTGCTTCCCACCCTCTTCAAACACACCATTCACAGTTCTGTTCAGTCAGGGCAGACCCAGAGTTCATAGGTACGTCATCATGATGTCCAGCCTCATTGGGCATGTGACAATGTCACTCATTTGCAGCTCCTGCCAGCCCCCTCCTGTCAGGTGCTCCTGTTGGCCACCTGCCACCTGCCACTGCTTCCACTGGACCCTCCCGCCAGCCACTGCTCCTATCAGCCCCGTGAAATCTGAGCCAAACCTAGTGACTATTTCAGTTTTTCAGTGTTTTCAGATCTTGGCCCGCAACAGCCCAGTTAAAAAATTCCAGCATCCACTGGAATAAATTTTAAAATAATAAAGAGACTCCTTATGGAGTCTATTCCAATTCTATCATTAGAACGGGAGGAGCAGGGCAGAAACAGGTTGAACCAGTCTTACAGCTCATGCCTGAAGGGCATACAGTCTTCTGGTTCAGAATTTTGCCCTCACCACATTAGACCTCACAGAGTTTTGGCACAGGAAGCCTTGTCCATCCGAGATTCTGTACATTAACAGTTTCTCTCCTTTGAACTAAGTTAAACACAATCTGACTTTTCCACATATCCCCAATATCTTACAATTCCTGCATTTAAGGTTAACACAGTTTGTGACTTCTCAACAAGCAAATTGCTTACAATGGGCCAACACCATTCTAACTGTTGAATACCTAGCAGGCCTAAGCAAACTGAGTGAACATAACCAAACCCAGGATTTCTTTCCAATTCCAGCTGGCAGTAATGGAAGTATTGATTCAGAACCTGCTTACATAATGAAGCCACCATTGTTGGTCCAAAGTTCATTAAGAATGATGGTCACCTGAATTTTATTCCTGACATGCACTTACTTTAAATAACACAAGGGTAGTATTGCCCAGGCAAAGTGCACAGCACTGTTTGTCTTCAAACATGACGTGAGATTCTCTATGTGTCATGGGTCTTTGGAGGGAATCCCTCCCAGGCTGCTGAATGGTTAAGTAAGGCTGTATGTGAAATGGGGGCAGGAAGCCAGTGGAATGTTAGAGGTGACTTCTCCTTAGTGTGCACTTATGGAACAGTGCTAGAACTCAGAAAGCCTCCTTTGTATTCAGCTTACAAGTTGTCCTTGGGTGAGACAAACTAGGAACATTCAGCCCAGATACCACCCACATTACAAAGTGTACAAAAAGCCATGAGACTGCTCATCCTGCTCCTTATATTGCAAATATTTTGCAATTATATGGTGCTTTGTATGGCTATCTGTCGCAAAGCACTGTAACAAGAAGAGTCATTCTCTTTATTCCCATCCTACAGATACGGTAACCAAGGCACTGAGAGGTGAAGTGACTTCTCTACAACAACAAACCGAGCCCATGATAGAGCTAGGAATGGAGCCCTGGTCTCTGACTCTGTCTGCACCTGCCTCCTTTACAGGAACAAAGAGTCATTAAGGTTCTAATGAAAGCAGGTAACTGCTACTGAATAGAAACTGTTACTGAATAGAACAATTGAATCTTTCCAAATACCATCTTCTTATATGAGCTCTCTCTCTCTCTCTCTCTCTTTCTCTCTCTGACTAATCTCTGTAGCAAACCAAGAAATTGTTGGACAAAAAATAGTTGAGAGAAAGGACTAGTTGAGAGAAAGGCCCATAAAGCTGTACAATATGTCAGTCATGTAATATATTCTCAAGTTCCAAATGCCTTTTAAAGCTAATGGTATGTGTTTGGTAATAGTTACTGGCTTGGAATCCAGGCTAGCAGCTGGTGCCACTAATTGGTAGCCCTGAGGAAGAGCACATCCACAGCAGGCAGGCGACCTGATTTCAGGAGCAGTGAAAGGATTGGGGTGGCTGCCTTGCTAATTCTATTACTCATTGTAGTCTTTAATCAAGATGAAAAGTCAAGCGTCCATGAGGAGCTCACAAACAACAGCTTTGCCTGATTACTGGTGTCCAACTCGCTCAAACCTGACAGTCATAGCCTGGAACTGGCAGGCCTGTAACAACTTGTAACAGCAGCTGAATTGCAGCTGTTCATTTTCCTCTCTGTGGTGTCTGCTGGACAATGCTAAAAATAACACCAGAGAATAATTTGTCAGGTCTTCAGCCTCTTTCAGGCTGAAGCATGGTTTGTTCTTTGAGGGGCCAATGTCAAGTCCTATAAAAACAGCAAATTACCTCCAACTCAGTCAAGCAGCAGTGAATAGGTCACCTACTATGAGCTTCAACACAGACTAGTTACATGCAATATCATCACTCTCCCCTTCTGGATCTGTGTCCTGTGGAACATATCCGGGGAATTAAAGAGAAGAGCCTTATAGCAGACAGGTACAGAAGGAAGAGCATTTATTGATCAGTAAAATGTTAGAAGCAGATTGCAGGAGAACTGATGTTTTGAGTGGTTTATGGAGGCAGCTGCATTGCTGATGCCAATAGAAAGTGACACAGTCTGTATCTGGTTGAGACTCAAGTTCAAGGAAAAATTGGCCTTTTGTGTTTCACTGGGGTTCTGGGTGGAAGAAGATTAAGTGCCCTCAAATGTCCTAATTAATCACTGGATGCATGTCTCAAAAGTGATCCCCTTTGATACTCCATATGAGATCTAATAGCATCCCCCAAATCATCCAATCTGATAAGCATCCCTTCCAATGCTCCACTTGAGTCCTGGGCATTCGCTTTCACTGTCTCATATCCCTCCCAAATGAGACCACAAGAGTGCTAGGGTCCATTCTGTCAGCCAACAGTCAGGGCAGTGAGTGGTGTGTGTTTGTGTTATACACCCGAGACTTCAACTACTGAGACCAGGGTCCCTTGCAGCGGGCAACCTGGAGGAGGTTGACGGGCGCCCCAACAAGTTTACATGGAGAGCTTATTACACCTCATATTTTAGCTGCTAGAATACATGATCCCTTCACAGCGGGCAGCCTGGGGAGGCTGAGAGATGCCCAATGGATCTGTCACCTGGGAGTGACACAAATCCAAACGCCCAAGCTCTCCCTATACCTGTCCCTTATGACCGGCTGAAGTTCTTTTAAATTGTGCTTGGTTCTGTTACAGCAACTGAAGGAGTCAGGTTAAAGCTTAAACAGTTACTATTTTATTGTTACAGGGTAAACTTAGCCGTTAAATGCTACTGCTGTGTTACAGATAACACAGCCACTACAAAGGACAGGATACAAATTACACTAATAAGTCACTTACAGGTACCATGAAACCCTTTTGGTTCTCTGAGCTCTTATTAAATGCATGCAAAATAGACACCTAGCAGGTATATA